GTCAGGGCCCAGAGGGCATCCCCAGCCCTGACTGCCCTTGCCTGATCTCCAGGTGCTCCCCCCACCCTGCCTACAGTCCAGGACCCCATTTTAGCCCCCTGAGACTGTTGGTCCCTGCCCCAGTGATAATACAGCAGTGCTGGTGTCCATCTCTCCACAGCCCTGCCCAACCATGGGCCTTCCAAGCTGGGCCCCCTCATGGGTCCATGTCCCTATCTTGAGGGAGATGCCCAGTGCCTGGGGCTGGGATTACCTGTGCCCTGGTGTCCCCACCAGTAGCCCTGTTCTGGGCTCTGTCCTGCCACCTCCCATGGGAAGCCTGGCCCCAGGGAGCCTCCGGCCGTCATGGGGTGCTGACAGTTGGGTTGCTTTGCTGGAATTCAGCCAGCACCTTTCTGAGGGCTTGTTCCTGGTGCTTTCTCAGATACGTGAATACATCTAGACTGACTAAAAATATTCTTATCTATTATTCAATAATCTCTTCATCTTTCACCTTGCTGCTGGGTTGCTTTGTAAAACTTTAACAATAAGCTCATTTGATTGAATTAGAGATAAGGTGTCAGCTCATATATGTAGACTTCTGCTGGAGAACAGTTTGTGAAACCCACGTGTATTTGGTGTGTCTGCTGGTTTCAAGATCTAGTGACGCTACTGTAAGAAGAGGATTCTTGTTTGTTTCCACAGACATTTCGAGTACGTAACATAAGACAAACATGTTCTTTAACCTTTATTTAAAAATACCTATTGCAAAAGCACTGAGCTGAATGCTAATACCCAGGAATAGCAAGTGAGCTGTTCACTAATGTGAAGCAAGGCTCTAAATGGAGTATTTTCATTACAGTGGCTTTTCATTTGAATGATTCTTTTTCATCAGTGTCAGAATGTTTGATGAATGTATTTGATAATATTCTCTTAAAGAATTTATGACAGCCACATGTTTGAGGCTGGAACAGGAGAAGAAGGAAAGGGGGGAGTTACCTAATGTAAGAAGAAAGAGCAGACTGCAACAACCCCCTGCCACTTTTATCCCATTTTGGATTTTATGACACAGTTCTGGGTTTGGAAATACACAATTTCTTTTTTTGGTCCTGAAAGAAGGAAAAATAAGGAATGATTTTTTTCGACGTGGTTGTGAAGGAACTGCCATTGTCCAGCCTGCACAACCTGTGCATGCACTGTGTACAGTCAGCGTGTGAATGTCCATCTCAAGAAAATACTTGTTCAGGAGTGATAAGGGGAGCCTAACTGTAATCTTAAAGCCTAATTCTAGTGGTAGTTTGTATGGTCTGAAACCACAATCCTAACTTCCTTAGGAAATTTCACTACCAAGTATCTGAGTGGTTGCTCTAGTACAGAAAGGTGAATACCTGTCACCTTCTGCTGCTTTTGCCAAGGAGGTGGTACGTGCGATAGCAGTGGCTTCTCCATGCTTGCTGAAGAATTTCTTTCACTTGAGGTACCCCTGCAGGTTTCTTATGTGAGCACGACTGAAAAGTAAGCCATCTGTTTCCTCAGTGCTTCCCTGAATCACAGTCCTGAAGGAAAGGAGGGTTAAAAGCAGTTTTGAATTAAAAATTAATTTAAAATATCTTATCAAGCCTCTTCAGCCTTAACTACACTGAGAAAATAAACTGATTCAGCATGTGATTTGTACAAGACACAGTTGTGTTAATAATGTGGTAGCTTCCCACAGATTTCTGCCCTTGCTCATTCCAAGGACAAAATGAAGTTTAACACTGGAATAGTTAGAAAACGTTTTACCTCATACATTTTAACACTGCATTTTCCCTGTATAGCGTCTAGCTTAGTTATTCTAATTTTATCTTCAGTAATGGGTTCCTAATTTTATTGTTGTGGCCGTTGCTCCCTCAGGGCATTTGGAAATTAGATTCAGCATTTTAAAAACCCCTTAGCTGTAACTGACTTTTAATAATGAAATAAATGAAAAGAGTATTTCTGACTATAAATCCTGAATGCTTTGACATGGATACATGAAGAGTTGCTACTGTTTGTTGAGTGCTGAGTTTTCCAGCCCTGTCTCATTTTACCACTTATTTGTCCTGGGGATATTCTGCACAAATCTGGAAATCTCCATTCAGAAGGGCTGGTGGTTGACATGTTTTCCACCATAGCATTTGTCAGATGTGGTAGAGTCCGCAGGAAACCTTTTGAAACACAAGAGGACTGTGTAGGTAGTGCAGTGTTATGGCATTATGACTAAGAAGCTGTTTTAATTTTTAAACAACAGCAGACATTTCCTCTGAGATAGAAATAGTTGCAATTTTTCTTTCACTTACATGGGCAAGTTAGCTGCTCTGGATCTGGAAGGAGGGATGTATATGGCTAGGTAGGACTCTGGATGGCTGCTGTTCTTCAGACAGGTACAAAAGTGATCGGTATTTGCTATGTGTGCATTCTCAGAAGATGAGCTTTTCTCCTGGGGAAACACCTATGGGTTTCCTCTGTCTGCAGCTTTCTGCTCTACCCTGTGCCTCCCCAGAATTTTTATCTGAACCATTCAGGGCATCTGAATGCAAAAGGAAAGCCCTGGAAGAAGGGCTTTGGAGTGGCTGGGTGCTCACTTCCCATGATGGCCACAGCATCAGTAGAGAAGAAATAAGCAAAGGTGCCAGTGGGGCACACACCTGCAGACTTCTTGATTTACATGTCTGCAAATTACTTGCATAGGAAAACATGTTTTAAAAAGGATTATCTTGCTGGGTCTTGTTTGCCAAATATCAGCCTGGAGCAGGTTTTTACAGCTGAGATACAATGGCCTGATAGCAATGTTTATGTTAGAAATTCCGCTAGCTATTTAATGCCAGCAACACACTGGCCACTTAGTCACTGGAAGACTTTGTTGTCACAATGACTCTTTCTTTTGCAAATGGCAATATGTTTGGGGAATGTTGCTTGGTGCTTCTGAGAGCAAAGACTCCATGCTGGTTAGTGGTTAGCCAAGCCCACAGGCACTGTGAGCAAATGTCCCCACACAGCTCTGCCAGTAACAATAACGGCTGGTGCTTATGCAGCACTTTTCATCTTCAGGCTGGTTCCCAGAGTGGTGGGACCCGCTCCTCACAAGCTGCGGTTGCTGCTAGCTGCAGAGCTGCTACAGCAGCTCTCCTGTGGCTTGGGGCAGTAAAGGTCGCGGCAGTATGTGGGACTCATGGTGCTTGCTACTGCCACATGTAGATGGGAGGAAAAGCAGTATGTGCCCTAAGCCAGGACACGCAGTGCATCCCAGCTCAGGTGCTCATCGCTTGCCAGGGCTACCACATTGTGTGTGCCTCCAGATAGGACTCCTCTATCAGGCTAAATAGGCAAGGATCTCTTTACTGGGATATTCGTGATGGAAAACATGCCCGTGAAGCATCGGCACTATGGCTTCCTAAACTCTTGACTACCCCATGTATCGCTGTGGGAGATTTTGTTCCTTTTAAGGCAAGTGCTTTTTGATCCTGAACTTATTTCCCAGACTTGGGGAAAGAATACCAAATATGCAAAATTATATAGTGTGTTACTAAATACCATTCAATGCCCTTATGCAAAAAGGTCATGGCATGCAAAGTCATGACAGGGCTTTGCCCTCACAGAACTGCAGGATAAACTTTCTTTGGATATGCCCTTGGGAGATACTCAGAAATGATTGTGTCACGTGTTCGTATGGACAAAAGCTACCTAGAATTTGGATAAAAATGAAAATGTGTTTGCTGAGCCATTCTTGGTAAAGCAACAGCCAATATAACAATGTATTTGTTGTCACTGGCCTGGTTTCAGCAGCAGGGTATGCTCAGCTCATATTGAATCGCATAAAAACCCATGAAAAATGACATTGTGATCCAAGACCACTCAGCCTCAACTTACATGGTACACTGCCTGCTTTCTTTTAGGCTCAATTTGAAGAAAATTATTGCCAGTTGTGTTTCATTAGCACACCAAAAAAAGGGCTGCATTTTTGTTTTCCAGAAAGTTGCTGAATCACATCACTGTGCAGAATATACTCCTCAAATGGCCTCTCTGTAATGATGCAAGGAAAAACAAAAAAACCTGTATCAAAAGATGAAATGTGTTATATGGGTTAGCTGAGGAAAAGTAATATTATCTTTTTTTAATGCCTCATGCTGCAGTGTCTGGGAACTGAAGGGCATAAAGTGTTCCTTTTCTCTTTTACTGCCGCATGACTTGTGCTTAACTATTTATGTTGCAATCCTGAGACCTGTTCTCGCTCCCCAGGAGACAAACGCTGAAGTATTATTAGACCTTAGTGCGTGGGGGGAAGAGTTCTTAGTATAATTTTAATGCATAAATATTGTATGCTTTATGCCCGTTCTTAGAGTTTTACAGAAGTGTAAGTTGGCTGGTGCACACTCTGGTGGCCAGTCTTTCTACAGAGAGAACTCCTGGGTACATCATGATAAATAAGAAATGTGTTTGCCAGGTATTGCACACCATTTTTTATTTTTTGTTATTTTTAAGCTAAAAGCACATATTCTACTCAATCAAGCATCTTACAAGAGTAATTGCTCCCAAACAGGTATTTTTAAGTTACTAGTCTTCTGATCTCAAAGGCTGAATCTGGCTTTGTTTGATAGGATCCAGTTTCTGTTGAATGTTTTTGGTCATGGCTCCCTGTAGGCCAGGCCTTCTGGGCTTTACAGTCGTACAAATATGTCCAGTACAGGTATGCATGGGTTAAAGATTGTTGGAAATGTTTGTTTATGCACATAATCATAATGTTCAATTCAGCACATAGCCTCTACTGACAATAACTCTTTGATAGTTCTGCATATTGTCTTCTGAATACACTTTTTGTACTGGTTCTTCTTAATACTCCTCCTCTTATGTGATGTACAGTTATGGATTTTCTAGTTGCTCTTTTCGTTCAACAGGAAACACCAGGGTTTTCTCACCTCATTCTGCCCTTAACTTCTGGGTAGTACTCTATTACATTGGCCACAGGTGTTGGAACTAAAAATTCTGTTCAGTTTCCAATCAAGCAAATCTCCATCCTGCAATGTGCAGAGAAGAGGCCAGAGTACTGGGACACCCCAGTGGCTGCAGAAGGGAGAGAAAGCTGGGAAACTTGATTCTGCATAGAGCTCAAAGTGAGAACATGAAGAAGAAGGAAAAGGCGATAGATGTGGATCTGCAATACTCTTGCTATGCCCTGAGAGGCAGGTGCTGCTGCCGTTCCGCCTGTTTACAGGGTAACTGCTCTGGCTCTTGGGACTGCTCCTTAAGACATTTTCATCCTCTACTTCTATCTCTCCTTTCCTTCAGGGTCGTCATTTAAGGTGGAAAACGCCTGTCGCTCAGGAAAAGAAGGCGAACTACCCCCTCTATAGGCTTTCCCCGTTGTTGCTTTCATGAACCGGCCATCCAGGGGATCAGAGCTGCATGCAAGCACTGGAGGCTGGGAAGAACTCTGAAGTAAGGCGTGTTTTGCATTTCTTTAAAATTTAGATATTATTTTTGTGTGTTTATGTGTGTGGGAATATGTATATGTGCATGCATATCCACACACATTCTCTAACACCTATATATGTAGCTTCTTTTTCTGCAGAAGTCAGATACAGAACCATAGAATGGGTTAGGTTGGAAAAGACTTTAAGATTATTCAGTTCCAATTCCCCTGCCGTGGGCAGGGAAGCCTTGCACTAGACCAGGTTGCTCAAAGCCCCGTCCAACCTGCCCTTGAACAGTCAGGGATGGGGCAGCCCCAGCTTTCTAGGGCAGCCTGTTCCAGTGCCTCAGCACCATCATAGTGAAAAACTTCTTCCTTATATCTAACCTGAATTTCCCGTTTAAGTTTGAACTCATCATCCCCTATCCTGTTGCTAGTCCCTCATGAAGAGTCCCTCCCCGGCATCCCTGTAGGCACCCTTCAGATACTGGAAGGCTGCTATGAGGTCTCCACGCAGCCTTCTCTTCTCCAGGTTGAACAGCCTCAACTTTCTCAGCCTGTCTTCATATGGGAGGTGCTCCAGCCCCTGGTCATCCTCGTGGCCCTCTTCTGGACTTGTTCCAACAGTTCCGTGTCCTTTTTATGTTGAGGACACCAGAACTGCACACAATACTCCAGGTGAGGTCTCACGAGAGCAGAGTAGAGGGGCAGGATCACCTCCTTCGACCTGCTGGTCACACTCCTTTTCATGCAGCCCAGGATATGGAGAAATTTTTTAAGCCAATGCATGATCCTTTTGTTTATAAACTTCCTGTTTGTTAACGGTTTATTACAACGCTTTCCTGACTGCATTCTACCCTTCTTAGTGGAAGAGACACCACCTGAGCCAGCAGTTCCATGAACTTAGGCAGGCTTCCTCCCCAGTGCCTGCTATCCCAACTGCTTTTCCCTCCTCTCTGTTCCAGGGCCCTGCTGCCACAATTGCACCAGCATTGCAGTTTATGGCATCATTCCGGTAAGAAAAGCAACCTGTATTAAGAACAACCCTGTAAATAAAAAAGATTGTTTATAACAGCTCAGTGACCTGATTTACAGCACAGCACTACCAACAGTTGCAGAGCAGCAGGAGGGTGAAGAAGCAGCCAGAGGCAAGGCAGGGATGGGAGGCAGATGTTCCCAAGCTGGCCTTGCAGAGGAAGTCCCCCTTTTGAAAGTGCAGCTGCCAGTGTACCTTTGCTGTGGCATAGGTCAGAGGGAATTCTCCTGCAGTGTATGAAGTAACACATTGGGGAAGAACTGACACATGGGTGAGTTATATATTAACCACTATAAATGACCTTTCAGAGAGCGACAGAGTAACAATCTCGCTGATAAAGGAAATGGCGATTTTTCTATTTTGCAGAGCACGGGTATTAATTCCCAGGAAAAGACTGTGCAGCTCTTCCCACTAAATGATACCATTTTCAGTTCTTCCATACTTTCTTAAATGTGAATAAATCGTTCAGATGTTTTCAATGCTAAATAAATGCCTCTTTTTGTTTCTTGTGGGGAGCTGAGGGGAGAAGGCAGGAAACGTTTTAGCTAAAATGATGCAGCCATTTCCAAGGAAGTGTCAGAAGAGCAACATGCAAGTTTGCTTGGGTTACAGAAGCAATCTTAGCAGTCATTCAGCAATGTACTCACTTTTCCTTCCCAAGGCCTGACCTTGTTCTGTGTTCAGCATTACCAGAGATCTGCTGCAATGAAGTTTGTGTACTTATGTCACTTAGGACACAAATGAATTGCTTTAACTTATGCTTAAAAGCAAAAACCTGCCAGAGATGACAAATCTGAGTACTGTATTTCACCAGTTAAATGACTAATGTTTTACTTGTCTTTGAAGCTTCTGGTGAAAGCTGAAGCATAATGGTGAAAGAAAAAATAATGTAAGTTACATAACACCACACATATGGAATTGATAATGCTCTGGTTTTATAAGGAATAAATTGTTCTTCCATGGTTATATACAGAAATATAATGAGGATGATCTCATTTGGTGTCCAATGTGTGCTGTGCATATATTCAGGAGATTCAGAAGATTTAAACTTTTTGACCAAAAGTGACAATTTCACAGAAGAATCCTTCTTCTGGTCAATGTATTCCACTATTTAATGAAAAGAAACCCTGGCCATGTTACAATTCAATTGTTGTTTGGTTTTCAAGAGACATTTTTTGACCTTCAAAGCCATCAAAAAATATCCTTGTTTTAGACCTAAATATTGTATTTTTAATTTTTTTATTCTCCCCCCTCAAGCACTGCTTACTGGGATTTTATTGCATGGAATTTATGTAGCCAAGATTTTAAGCACCTTTACGTAATTAATAATATAAATCAAAATCCCTGTGGTCTTTCTGTCAGGAACCCAACTATACAGACACCTTTAGAGACTCTTTTTCACTCCGTCATGATGGGAAGCATACTCTGCACTCAAGGAAGTGAAATAAGAAGGGATTCAGGTAATGAAAGGCTGGTGATAAATATCAGCCAGCACAGGAGAGAAGGCTGTGTGGAGACCTCATGCATGTTCAGGGTAGGATATTGGTCAAATGTGTTTGGGGAGGGAAGGACTGACAGGGGTTGCTTACCCATCCCTTAGAGCTGCTATTGCTTCACTTGGGTCAGGGATGGCCTGGGATGTGGTGGCTGTATCTCCTTTCATCCCACCCGGGCCTCTTCAAGAGAAGAGAGATATGAGTAAGGGAGGAAAGGATGAATCATTTTGTTTAAATAGCTGGTGGTGGGGCTGCCAAAGAGGCAATCTGTGACAGAGAAGAAGAGAGGTGAAAGGCAAAAAGGGCTAGCCAGGATTAGGCCAAAAGACAGAATAAGCAAATGCAGAGAGAGAAACACTGAGACAAAGGCCTAGCCCAGGGATGAGTGATGTAAAGTTTCTGTGAAATTGGTGGTAGCCAGGATATAAGTGTGCTTAGGAATAGTGTGGTGGTTATGTTTGGATGCAAGGGCATTGTATATACTAACATTGCAGATACTGAACAACTTTAAGCTGGTGCCAGAGGTCTGTCACATACATCAGTCTTGGAATCACTGCCAGTTTTCTGAGTACAGTGTGTCCAAATGATTATTACATGAGACTGCAGTTAGAAGCATGCCAAATGAGTTGCACGTGAGTTATATCTATTATTTAGGCTCTAAGAAAAGAAAAAAAGAGATGTAGGTCTTGCATGTGACAGTTTTCATCAGTCTCTTCAGAAAAAAAGCTTTGTATTTGCCCATAAATTAATCTTGTGTCATGATGACAGAAACATCAATTTCCACTTGTTAGAAATGTTTTGCATGCAGGCTTTGGCAACATCATCCCTCCTCACAGGAAGAAGACTGTAAGAAATCCCAGAGTTACTTTTCATATTGCTATGCCATCTCATTACTGTATTGCGCCACCAGGGCGTTGCAAAGAATGCCTTAAAATGCAGAGCTACTTAAAAAGGCTTGGGAGTGGCATATTCTTTACTGTATGCATGACCTCATCTTAAAAGGAAGATTATTGTTAGCAAACTTCAGCTGATGGAAAGTTGAGAGTTGTTCTAAACGTAATCTCAGCAGCAACATGGTTCAAATAAGAAAAAATACATTATTATCATCATCCTCTTTGCCAGTTCTACCTGTATCTGTTCTTTTTTTATTTCAGAAGAGGCAAGCACCACAAAAATCATCATGAACAAATTTCCTACCTATGTGCCAGGACTACATCAGAAAGTGGTGTGCAGAGCAGCTGGCATTGCTATTTGGGCTGCTCTGCAGGGCCATGAAAGCCATGCTCTGGGCTGGATGCAGGCACCCAGAAGTGCAAGGCAGAGGAGGGAGCTGCCAGTAGCTGCCAGAAACCACCTCTGGTGTCAGACTTATGCAAAGTATGACTAAAACAATGTCACTGCTGAATACAAAATTTCCCCATTTCTTTCTTGCTTTGATGAGAAGAGCACTGCAGATGTGGGGACAGGGACAAAAGTAGCCAGTATTTCCTCTCCTCTCTTTCTACATGCAAATCAGCCCTGCTCATGGGGCACTGGCTAATCCCTCTGGCTTCTGAACTGAGAAAAGAAGATGCTCCTCTTCCAAGTAACTAATGAATCACCCCTTTTAGTACATAGCATGCATGAATGCATTGTTGAAAATCGGTCTTAATCACTCACTGAGAAAAATTATATTGATCATTTCTCCTTTTTAGTTGCTAACTGGAAGCCTCAGGAGTTGTGACTCACAGCCTGCATGCTGCTCAGAAAGACTACTCAGAAAGTAGATTTTTAGCTTGTTATAGGAGCCCTCTGCATGTTATTCGTTGCATCTTCCTAGTATGGATATGATTAGGAAAAAGAATAGATTTCTTCATTTCGTACCTTTCTAGGAATTACTGTTCTGCAGATGGATTTGGCCATGTCTTTTCAAAGAAGAGAAGCGTTTCTGGGGGGCAACTGACTTCTAGTAGGTGATAGGGCTAAACAACTCCTGGGCTGGAAGAAACCCACCCTCCATTTTGCCTTTAGCAATGTAGCAGTGTTGAACAAGCCACACATACAGCAGCTCACCCTTGTTTATGAGCATAGGACTGTGTGTCAACAGGACAGTGGCATAAGGAAAAAGAAGTAATAAGAGTAAATCTGACTGGTTTTGACAGCTTCCTGGAAAGAGGGTGGGTGGGTCTAAGGTGAGAAATGAACTGTATTGCTGGCTAGGAATTGCCAAAGACAGAGCGAAATTAATAGATAAAAAGTTTTCAACATAACATGGGAAAAAATGTATTTGTAATTGTTTCAAATGCAGACAGTTGTACTGATAGACTAACTTGTATTAACTGCATGAACAATACTACACTGAAAGATTGTTACTAATGCCAATAGTTAAGTTTTCAAGTGGTGGAGAATGCCAAAGCTAAGACAGCCTACACCGCCTTAAATCAGTCCTTCTGTGT